AAGTATAAATCTGGAAACTGATAATTGAACAAAATTACCTTCATGGATACCCCATGAAACTTACAAATAACTTGGGTTTCGCAACAGCTCACTCCGAATGAAACACACTGTTACTTAAAAGTATATAACAAATGAAGGTTGTAACTATGCATGGCTCTTAAAACTCAACTCTCTGCTAGAAACTTGTGCAGCCAATCAATTCATGGTTATTCCATGCTGACATACTCCTTTGACGTTTATTAAATGGCAGCAATACCGACCTCAACCTCCAGAGAAACCAGATTTCGAACCACTATGACTCACACCGAAAATCATCCCCATTCAAGTACTGACGCTTTACCCTGTCCAAGGTCGCTAAGAGGGCGAGTATTGTAGATCTTCATAATCTACCACATCTCAATTGCTTCACTCAGAATACTTCTTGAACATTGTGGAGAGAGTTCACAAGCAGTGAACGCATTGATAACTATATCCTCTGAACTTGAAAGCTTGATCCGCCTGTCAACCATCATTGAAACGGAAGCGAAGAACTATGGAAAGCAAAGCACTGCATGGGAAGTACCTCACGAAGCTGAGTAAACCAGAAGCACATCTCTGCGTCGCACGCATGGCTCACACGGGATCTCTTTCGGAGACAGAAGCTCATGATAGCTAGTCCAGGACCAAGTGTACAAATTGAAACTACAGAAAAACACATTCTGAGAGATTCTACCATTCATTCCGGATCGTGTAGAATATGTGAGGCTGCAAGCGAAACTATCCAACACGTGACAAGGTGGATGTAGCCCACGCACAGGTGGAATAGCAAAAAAGAGGCATGATAAGTCGAAGCATGGTACCCAATTTTGCGTGAAACGGCTTACTCGCACTTCCGTGCCTATTATTAATATGTGCCTCAGAATGTTGCTGGAAACAGAGTGAGCACCACTCTACTGGGATCTTTCCATATCATACAGACATGTCGCGGCCAATAGACCAGATTATAACGTACATGATAGAAACCAACAGCAGGTTTTCCTTATCGATATATCATACCAATACCCACAACATATCGGGAAAATATCAAAGAGAAGATCCAGAAGTATACCAATCTCGCCTATAAGTGCAACTCACTGGAACTTCAGTAAAGTACGACTGTCGCATATATAATATCAAGCTACGGGAGTGATCCCGAAAATGACACCTTCGGCACTCGAGTGTCATCACTGGACCAGGAATGTATATAATATGCAAAAGACAGTAATTTTAATACATCCGATTGTCAGAAGCCATTGAACTCAGTAAAGCAACCACACACCTGTCATCATACCGGTGTGGTTGACATTAATATAATAATTAATATAATAATAATAATAAAATAATAATAATAATAATAATAATTAAATAATAATAATACCACATGCTATATCTGTGGAATGGATAAAAAGGAAAACCAGGAAAATTAGATCCGTGTCAGGGTGACAGTTTAAGCCCCATGTGGTCTGGATTCTTTTATCCATCCTAAGTAATTTATTAGACGGATAGGATATAGTGTTAAAAGGCCAAACATCGACATTTAATCATTCACATATTCAAACAGAGATTATAACATCGAAATAGTCTGCAGAGGACTATGAATTTGAAAGCATTAATCGTCAGCACGGAAGAGAAATTGATCACATTTTCTCAGTTGATACGCCACTTCATAAAGCAATTGCTCTCAGGATCAAAGATATCAGCCCATTAAGTCTATCTCAGAAGAACAGAGATTTCCTATGGCGTTACAGCTCGAGATCGAATATAATGCTTAGAGAACAAAAGTGCTGCATGACAGTTATAGCAACGTTGAACTTCTGAAAGACGTTATGTGAAATGGCCTACAAATGGCTGCGAACACGTCTTTATGTGAAACAGTGGAATCCGTCTCCGACCGACCAAGTTATTAAAATTAGGGACTATAAAAAATATGTTTTGGGCCAAACGATTGATAGCAAATGCCGATTATGTAAAACTACCAATGAATCAGATACATGCAAATGGATGTCCATTCTTGGCACAAGGCTGAATGCTTCAGCGACATAACAATACGGCCAAAGAATTATCAGGCACTTGCCAAAAATATGATCACTAGAAAAGAGCAGCCGTATAGTACAGTGAATGATTGAGAAGTAAGTTAGTAATAATCTAGCGCAATATTGTAGGACAGCCAATTATAACTAAAAGACTGTAAAAGCATACAACCCAGATTTATTTGATAAAACGCCAGAACAGCGCGATTTGATGTTCTGCAGTTCTACCAACAACCTCGGTGTCAACATGTTGCTAAGAAAACGAAAATATCAGCAACTAGCTGTTGCGTTGCAGTACACAGTTACACATAGGTAACACATACGTGACAATGTACTCAAATTTACACCGAAATACATTAACGTAAAACATCAAACTATTTGTAAACATATTTACCACCAA